CTTATGCTGATATTAAAAAAGCTCATGTCTGTAGCCTTCTTTCTAAACTAAAAAAAATATTTTACAAAATAATTCATCTGCCTTAACCTGCCAGGTGTTAAAAGAAGGTCTAGGACAGAAGCACTGTAGTTTTTAACATCCATCTTCACACTATATATTTTTTCTACCTTCAGCAGGCTTCTGAGAGCTGCGGCAAACTTCCTCTTCCCCTCTTGACAGAAGTCATAAATAACATCCACACACACAGGAGGACACCTAAACTTCACTTCCAGCAAAGACAGAACCAACCCTACAACAGGTACCCATGTAAATTGTACATTTACTGTATTTGTGTAGCTTCTTAGAACCTCAAACAACGGAGGTCCTCAAAATCGCCCGTAACCCCTCAACACCTGTAAAGTTTACTATCTAAACTAACCTCCGCCTGCCAAGTTCCTTAATAAGCCTATTAATTCTTGCAGTATTCTCTTCCATTTTTCTAAAAAAATTATGTACTCTCCTAATTCTCAAACTAGAAGCTGACTCCTGGTGAATGTTCTATCACCAGAAACCATATGGAGCAACAGAAAAACTAAAACCAATTATTTGGATTTGAATTCATGGAGCTTAACAGAAAGACTAAAATCAATTATTGGATAGGAATCCACAACATTTTTCTTATGAAAAAAGATGTTGTTTTATAATCCATGCCACTGCCTGTGGAAAATATCCAGAAAGACAAAATAAGTTACATTTTACAATTATTTGCATAATCTCACTTCTAAATGTAGGTAGAAGACACTTGCAAAAGGGTAATGTTACTTGCCCAAGAAGGGCAATATTACAAATGATAAAATCACCTCTAATTTATTGTAAAACCTCAAGGAATGTCTGCCTTTTTTTTCCTTTTTAATCATCATGATATGAATGCATAAAACCTTTTCAAGAGCGAGCTGTGGCACTGCCACTCTTTATACTATTAAAAAAGGCATGATCCAAAAGCAAGCACTGCAGCCTAGGCATGCAACAGTGAAAACAGACACCTTTAAAATAGAACTATTAAAGTAGGTTATGAGACTGAGGATGATGAGAAGATCACGTAGAAAAAGAAAGCAAATGACTTCTCTAAAAAATCATGCAGTAGGAAATGGATTTGAAAGAGTTGATGTGAATGTTCAAACCAATAATCCAGCAGCTCTAATAAATGGGAAAATTAAAACTGATTGTTCCACATGAGAGCAAACTAGGTCAATATGCACATATGTGCAACCTTAAGTAAGAGTGACAACGAATAGGAGTAAATGAGGTACCCTAAAGGCTGAACATCTAGAAATGATTTTAGAATGAGATTTCACATGAGTCTTGTTTAGATCAAGATTTTAGATTAGCCTATTGAGTAATGCCACACTAAATGATTTGGAAGTTCAGTTTTAATACATTCTGATTCATTCGGTAACATTTTCTTCTGTTTGCGCTAATGTAACTCCAAGTTTTAGAACTAATTAAGTCTGTCTTGGCCGATTGCTGGCGGTACCTGTAAGTGGTTATTGTGAGAGCAGACCAACACCTAATGCTTGCAAACACCTCCCCTTGGCCCAGCGCAGGACCTGGGTCAACGGGTGCTCCGGGTGCCCGGGACCCTCCTACGGGCACCGCCACTGCCTGCACTGAGCAATTCCCTTTAATATTAAGCTTTCTGAAGGAAAAAAAAAAACAAACCAAAACAACGATGCTGGAATGAGTGATGACTTATGGAAAGGAGTCGTAAGCTATTCAAAGGAAGCATGCAGCTTGACATTTAAACTTCTTAGTTATGCATATTTCCTGTGTGTTTGCCAATAGAAATGCTTGAATACTTGGGTTCAAAAGATAACTGTGCAGTAAAAGCAGGCAGCTGGACAGCCACCTGCTAGGTGTGCATCTCTATGCACAGCACTGACTGGGAAAGGAAAACAGAGAATGGAAAATGTAGGCAAAAACACTCACCCGCGCAAGGCTGCGGCTTTACAAGCACATTGTAAAAATGAACAGGATTCCACTTAATATTATGATTGCATCAAATTATAAATACAGAAATTAGGTAAACCATTTTCTTAGAGAAAACATTATAGTCTCTGAAATTGCTTAAATTTAGACACAATCAATCACATTTTTCCATTAAAATTGTAGCAGGTACACAGAATATGACTTATAATTTTCATTAAAATCCTTAGTAGTATAAAACCATTTTTCAATATGTTGAAGTGTAAGAAGCACACCCTAAAACACTGGTGTTGTCTGGTGTTGTCTTATTTATAAATTATACACTCATTTTGGGGCTTAGTCACTTAAATCTAGACTGAATATTCTGAATTTCTGGGCTGAAGAAGAGTTTTCACCTTCTTCTTTGCCCACTATTATCAGTGAGCTATCTAAATTCTAATTATTTTTGCAAGCTATATAAGTTCCTTTAAATTTGTCTGCGTGTCCTGTGCATTCCATCCTTAAGGTAAACTGGAACAGGTAAGAGTTAAAGCAGCAGCTTTGCATTACAATCTTCCTTCTTCTTGCTTTAGCAGCGGGAGACAGGCAGTCTAGACACCAGACTTCTAGTGATTTTATCACAAACAGCACACTATTTCAGGCTGTAGAAACATTCAAAAGTCTAAAACTGCATGATCATCACAAAAATGGACTTTGTCATAATTTCTAAGAAGCCAGCTGATAGGCTGTAAAAATCTGTGCAAATGTGAGACTACAAACAGCAAAACCAAGAGGCAAAACCAGCTATTCATTGACTGGAGGAAGGGCTTATGAATGCTGATATATAACCCTGTGACTTCTGGACACGTGAAACGCTCTGTTCTAGCGAATTCAGCCTCGACAGCGGCTCCGGGGAGCACTTGGTTCTTACCTTCCAACACAACAGTATTGGCAGCAAGTCTCAGCTGGGTTAGTGTTTCAGCCGGGCTGCCCCGGGTTCCCTCCTCCATGCTTCACACAGCTCCATATTTACAATTACCCAGTTTATTCCAGCCACGTTTGTACACGCCAAGCTAGGAAAGCTCTCCAGAAGCGAGGCCAGCTCGGTGCTCCCCACGGCTGCGGAGCCGCAGCGGGAGCGGAGCGAACGCTGCCCGCGGGCACGCCGCGCGGGCGGGACAGGCACCGCGGGCCGTGGAGCGACCGCGCTGCTCTCCAGCCTCTTCTTTGCCTTGCACTTACCAGCCTGACACAGAGAGGCCCGAAGGACTCGCGGATTTGTAAATAAGAATGTGTGCAAGGCGGAAAGTTAAAGGAAGAAATACAGTAACTCATACAAAGAGTCTCTCCAAATACTGCAACACGCACCCACGCCTCCAACACGTGTAAGTTATCCACTAATTTATTTCTGTAAACTTCTCATATGACTATTACTGCGATCTTGAGTATTCCATATATATATATATATGCATGTATATATATGGAATATATAAAACAAAGAAGGCAAAAAATAGGTCAGGCCTTCATTAAATTTAAAACTACATATATTTTCCAATTAACATTCAATTTATTGATTTTTCTTATCCAGAAAAAACTAAACCTCAATAACATAAGTTATCACGTATGTTCTCCTTCATGCTTTTTAATTTCTAGTATAGCTGGAAGCAGCAGTTAGACAACCTATTTTAGGAGAATTAAAGAGAATATCTGTGATAAAGTCACAGATTTTCTGTTATAACTGTTACAGCCACTTCATCTTACATAATATACATACAATCTCCCTATTTTAAGAAATATCAGAGTTAACAGATCCCTCAGACCACGTCACACTGATTTAACCTTCCAAATACAAAAACTGCATCTTTGTTTCAGCTGGATTTTTTTTAACCTTACTTATCCATTTCAGTGTGATTATTTCCAAACTAAGATTCTGCAATATTAGAAAGGCTAAGTAGATTTGGACACACTAAAGAATCAGGAAGAATGATATCTAAGAACTATATTAACCATTTACAGCCAAATCATCCCTTCGTATTTTTCTTAAATGTGAGTCAGCAGTTCTCATTACACATGCACGTATACAAATGCAGGACACAGCCTCTAGCTTATTCTGTTAAATATCAGATGAGAAATTCACATGTTTTGTCTTAAAGATTTTTAAATACAAAATTAGCTGTAGAAAAAAATAGCTTTGGCTAGCTCCCCAAAATCTAGGCTCAGGAAAAAGTCCCCACCACAACTTTACTTTTTTTAGTTTACATTCAGATGATTGACTTTAGAGGATTGGTATTCCAGGAATTTAAAGAATGGCTCATCCATTCCTTGCTTAGGCATCTTATCCATCCATTATAATTCAATAGGCTTCCTACTCAAATTGCACCATAGAAAAAGATGTTACGCCTACAACATTTGTCATTCATCTTTTTGTCCTAAAACATTTTAGAGTTATTTAAGTATACTGATTCTTAATAAAATTTCTGACTGTATTAGTTAAAAGCAAAATTATTTAGTATTAGAACTGAATTATTCTTGCTTGCAAAACTAGCAAGTATTAGTTAGTGCTCACAAAGGCACACAGGGTAAGAAGACATTATTATTGCAGTTTTAACCACAGGGAAATGAGAGGTGAAGCTGTTTAAGCACTTAGTCATTGACACATCCTGTGCTAGTCCAGCCTCAAATCACACCATGAGTCTCTACCTCAGGCATATTGCTTAATCCTAAAAGTCTCTGTAGGATTTAGGCATCTGTCTCAAAATAAAATGTCTTCCCATTTCTTTGGAAGATTGTGTTATTCCAGACACTACTAGATCTATGTTTCCTGTAAGCACATATATGACTATATGCCATGTGTTTGCCCTTAAAAGATTTCAAAACATAGAGGAAGAAACAACCAACAAATGCCAATACCAACATAATATCACATCCTGAATAACTACCTAACAAGCAGCCAGGCACATATATGGCTGATTTGGTAGAGTTTTCTGTCTCCTGTCTTTCTCTTCCAATTCCCTCACTTCCTTTACATCTTTCATAGTTAAAACAAATGCAAGACTTACCTTAATTGTACTGGTGTGCGCACCTGGATACTCTTTTTCCTCTAGTGTTGACCAACGTTGTATAAATTTTGATACTAGAGGATCATCATAGTCAACTATCTGAAATCCTGAGACATTAGCTCCTCCAAACTGAATTTTTGACAAATCTCCATCAGTAAATCCCTGGGTACAGAAAACAACATCTGTTACTTCCCCAGCTTTGACAGATCTCTAAGCAGTGCACACAACTACAGTTACCCAGGACTCTTGCTGCGGAAGCATAGGCCCATGCTTTCCCCACGCAGCATCCAAGTTGAAGTCCTGGGCTTAGTCCTCAGCTCTGCGAGCCAGCAAGGTCTCATGTTGCTCACTAGACATACAGCTTACAGACTAAGGGCTAAACGTACACTCCTTGCCATGCTTGCTTGTTTCAACAATCCTGTTAATTGCAGTGGAACTGCTTAGATGAGAAGGTGAATACTGCCATGAACAACAGTTACACAAGCAAGTTTTAGTCAGGAAGAGTTACAGCCATAATTGTTTCCTCTTTTAATGAGGAACCCTCGAGAATGCGGAAGGGCTTACAATTGTCCCTCCCAAATAAAGAACTACTGCTTGTTCTTCTGAACAGTCTTATTCCCTGAGTCTGGGGAGAGTCAAATGCCTGGTTCTTCAATTGTAGCTCTTCTTCACTGTAATATTCACTATAAAATGAAAACAGGTTAGACCAAAGTAGTTTACTGATCCAAATTAAATGAGAGAAAGAAATAATTGTGTCAATTATTGCTGACAAATAAGTATCAAATAAACTCATTACTTCAGTGGACTGATATTTCTGCATGTTTTCTTGGCCATTCCAATCAAATCAGCATCATTCTGAACCTTCAGTAAGTATCACTGAACTATTTCCATATACCTATATACACACACAATCGTCATCTGTAACTAAACCAAAGAGTTGCAGGTTGGTAAACTTCTAGCAAGAATCAAAGCCTCCAATCATTTCTTCCTCTGAAAACAGAAATGCCCATAAATTATTAAAAAAGAAAAAAGAATTTTAAAAACAATTTTGGAATTTTGCCAGAGAGAGAACAGAGATCCTAATGAAGCCAAGGAGACCAGGAGTAGATCTTTATGTCAAGGCTGAATGATTTGGATGTATTTCTTGGACAGACGAATTCTGATGCTACTATGCCTTTGGCCGCTGTAGCTATTCACCAGCAGAATGTATGTTTTCTTTTTCTATGTCTTGCATTTAATCATACTAATAAATTAATAAATTAAAATGAAATCTTGATTTCAAACACTTCAGCTTGAAATACAACTAAAATGAACACTTAGCAAACAAAAGCAGCAGCAGCTACCCCAAATCGTGTTATCAAAAGTTGCCACAACTGTCACATTGGGTGCACGTTAGCTACTGCATATTAACTACACTGTTTAGTGATGTTTTGTTGCATACTAATACAGATATCTATTGCATTATGAATCTTTTTCATAATCTTATTGTGAGCTTAAATTTTGAGTATAAATTCTTGTATACCTGGTCTCCTCTCTTTCAATATTTATTCAAATCAATTCTTTGACTGACTGATCAGAAAGGAAGGGAACAATATTATGGTCAAGGAAAGAAGAAAAGGTGGATTCATTAAAGACAAGGTATGATCAAAGATAAGTTTTCTTTCTCAGGAAAAAAAAGCATTTCTAAAATCATTACCATATATATCTTACATAATATTATATAAATATCTGCAATATTTACTCTTAAAATACACAAATCTCTAATAAGAAAACACGATACTAAAAAGCTTTGAATATACGATTCAATGACTTTATGGGCTTACTGTTGCAAACTTAGTAGATGGCTAAAATAGGAGTCATTCAACATAATTAGACTAGGCATTTTTTCTAAAATATTGTATTTTTGTAGACTCAAAATACTATTTATACAGTGTATGCAGTACAAAACACAAATGCCTAAAAGCTAGAGTTTCTCAAGTTCTGTAAGACTTCTTTGCTTGTTTTGTGAATATGCAGTAACTCACCAGATGAGAACTTTTATTTTCTAAAATGCATTTAAAACAAAATACCATTTGAGGTTCTTCCATAAACATTAAAATGAGTAATACCGGTGTTTTATATATTAAATTTGCTTACCAGATTTGCAATGATGTAATGGTAACCTTTTACATGTTTACCGATTGTGATAACCTGCAAAAGAAGAAATATCCCCTCAATTGAGAACGCTGAGCAGATATACGGACTGAGACTTAGAACGACTACACGCACTATAACATGAACGCTCGTCAGGAGCTTTTCCATATGCCATATCGAGTTTGTTTCATGTTTTGCTTTTTAATTTGCCTGATGTAGTACTGACCACACTCCCCGCTTGTGGAAGCTAGTCATGCTAAGACTCAAGTTGGAGCCGTAAGATCTGTCAGCAGAGAATTGCATGAAAGGCACCGTGAGGACAGGAGGGAGCCTGTGCTTGCACCCCTGAATTACTGTGTCTGACACTTCTGCTTAGTTCCTGCTTCCTTTTAACATGCCTTGAACTAGAAAAACGGTTTTAAAGTCCTAGGATATTAATATATAATTAAATAGAAGCAAAGAGATCTCTGGAGATTTCTCCCATTTTTTCATCAGTGAAAATTTAAATGAAGAGGGAAAGATACATTTATTTCCTCATGTAACTCATGACACAACTTATAACAGGTTAGTAGTCATTGAACTGTTACTGAACCATATTAGCTTCAACAGTCACAGGGATATGACTGAAGGCAGTCTTTAACACTCCATTTTATAGAGTTTAAGACCAAAAGGGATCATACTGAGTAAGAATTTATTTAGCTACTCTTGTTTTCAGCTTTGATATGTATGTATATATATGATACTCAAACTTAATGACTCTAAAACAGTTACTTGGCTTAGACTACTGAAAACCCATTGGTTATTCATTTTATTCTAGAGGTTTAAGAACTCTTCTCAAATATATTTCTTACCCAGATGCTGTTTCCAAAGAAATACATTAAACCAAACAGATTAGGTCCTCCACATTAAATGCTTCTTAGTCATTAGTATTTGAGAGAACACACATCTTTGGATCAATAGCTACTAACTGAGCTGTAACTGCCCCTGGGAATTATTTCATGAATCCAGCTGGCCTGCACATTGCCCTGCACGAGCACCAAGGAAGCTGCCAGCTAAACCCTAAGCAGATGCAGGGACGGCTGCAAAGGAGCAGGGCCATGGAGGAGCTGAGGACACCCGAGTTAGTCGCTGCTCTTCCTCGTTAAGACTAATGGCTCAAGCAGGGCTAGAGAATAAATGGCATTAACTGCACGGTTGTCTAAATGGTGTCATCAGGAAGGGGAGTATTGGAAGGAAGCTAGCAGGCAAGAGAGAAAGCCCATAAAATGAAGAGCATCCTAAGACACTGACTTAGGATGAGTCAAACCAGAGAAGAGGAATATATAACTAGTCTGACAGTAAACTGAAAATATTTTAAACTTCAGCTTATGTAACTGATTGAAATACGGAAGAGAAGCTCCAACACACACACAGCAGAGACAAGGCCAAGAACGATGCAACTTTGCAAATACTTTGTGAGTCTGCACCGCACAAAGACCCATCAAGAATACTTGAGTGTTGAAGAAAAAAATCTGTGTAACAAAAAGTCTGTTCCTTGTCCCTGTAAAAATAAAAAAATGGGACACTGACACAAAGGGCTCACTTCAGACACCCTCAGGAGCAAATAAAAACTGATGAAGTTTTTTCTCTTTTTGTCAGGAATTGAAATAACAAATCTGGTAGGAGAGCACGTAGAATTATGCATTTCTGAAAGAAAGTCAGAAGAACAGACTCAAGGAACACCTGAGACTTGCAAGGCAGAAAATCCCTTGTTCAGATTGTTCAATTTTGGGAGATAGAGAAAAATTAACAGAGAAACAGCTACTTTAGATTTTTGCTTTGACTTAAGGGCAGTAAGGGCAGCAAAAATATTCTAGAAATACAACTGAAATAGAGGAAGTCAAGGGAAATAAAAGACCTATTACTAAACAAATAGGGATAGTAAAAAAAGGGGGAGGGAGTAATTAAAGTTTAAATCTTTAAGAAGTGGTAAACAGAGAACTACTTTTACTAGCTTAATAGCTAATGAAAGAACAGTGACTATGGCATATTGTGACTTTAAAAAGGTTTGTCCTGTATAACATCATCATACGCTCTTAAAGGAATCCCAAGAGGGCAGAAACCACTGTAATATAAGTGAACAACTGCTTGGAAAACGAAACAGAACCACCTTAAGAGGACCTCTAAGTAGTGGTTCTTGCTCTGTTAAGTACATTTATTGCTAGCATGAACAGCAGAATTCAAAGAATATAATTTTAAAAATGGTGAACAGTAACAGAGAGATGGTAAATGCTCTGAAAAACAGGATCAAATTCAAACTGTTTTTGAAAATAAGAGATATGGTTTCTGGATATGAGTTCAAAATAGAGATAAAAGCATTCCATTTAGAATACTGCTCAGTGCCTGAGCTTCTCTAAACCACAATGACCTTCCTACCAAAGATCAAAATAAGAAGCCCTTGAAAAAAGCTTTAACCCACTACCTAACGTATCTACATTCAGCTCACATATCGCTACAGATGCCGCATAGTCTCACGTGGTCAAGTTCCAGCTAGCTGGGAGCCATCCTCATGGCTTTCTATTGTGCTCCATGGGCATGAGAAACAAAAATAAGATACAGAGACAGCATGGAAAATATCCGCCTAGACAGTAGCACTGAAGAAAAGGAATTGGAGGTTATAACGGGCAGCACAAGAATCTGGGTAAGAGCAGTCTGCTGTTAAAAATCATTTCAGGAGTAACTTTATTATATAATTTATTATACATATAAATCATTTTGGAAAATACATTTATTATAATAAAATTATAATGGAAGGGGGGCTGGAGAAAAGCCATTTTCCTTCTCTGCTTGCAGCTCAAGATATCAGCTATGGCAAACAGTATCCAAGGTTGAGCAACACATTTTACAAAGACTGAAAGGAGATCTGAGGATGCTTAAGACTGACAAGCAGCCTAGAAACACGACAGGTAGAAGAGCTGTCAGCACTGCCCTACAACATGAAAAGGGTTCTTGGAAAAAGCGCAATGAGTAGAAAACACTTCATAACTCTGAGGAGTGCTAAGCTTAGCTTATGTATTATGCATGATGTAATAGTATACAAACTATATGCAAGATCACATAAAAATATATTAACATAATACACAATATTATAATAAAAAAACAGATGAAATAACCTTAATAGAGATACTGAGAACAACAAACCTGATCAACAATGTCGTTAACTTTATCACGCTCGCAGTCCAAAATCACTCGCCTTTCCTTTTTCACCTCTAGATCTTGGAAGAGGGAGCGGTACGTTTCGTCTTTCCTGTCGTTGTTGATATTTCCTACGTTGATGGCAGTCACCTGCCATTTCTTTTCAGCCGCAGAGTCCAGCACAGCTTGCAGCGTGGATAGGCCTAGGGGGATGCAGGGGAGAAAAGCAGGTTTGACCGATAACGCTTGAGGAACAAAAAGCTCCTAGCACATGGCCTGGGCTTTCACCATGACTTGTTTGATCTGTCACACGTTGCTAGCCCTCCTCAAAAACGAACACACACATGGGCACAGTCCTGTTGCTACGGCATAAAACTGCTAGTTAAATCACTTAAATAGCAAGGAACCAGGATAGAGCCTTATTACAAAACCTTTTGGTTTTGCTTTAGCTTTCATCAGAAGGGGATTTTAGAAGCTTCACTAACTTATTGCTGCAATCCTACACCCTGGAAAGAGATACTTTAGGAGGAAAAAATATCCTATTACAGCAACAGACCAGGGTTTCTTACTAAATGCTACGAACGGTTCCAGTTCTCAGTGCATGAACAGCAGCATATTTAAACCCTGATCCCACTGAGATCTGTCAAAATTCCCATTTTCTACTGCGACACTAACTGAGCTATTATTTCTTTTACCCACAATCCTATCCTTGATTGTGAAAGAAGATGTGCAGAAATATGTTTTTCCATATAGATAAGCAGGCTCGATGCTAACGCCTACAAGCAGTCTATAGAAGTTGACTTTCATTTTATCCTTTTGGCATATTCCTGCGAGGAAGCTGTAATGTCTGCACAGCTGCAACTGCCTACAATATATTGTAAAATCAGTGCATATTTTACTAGACTGGTCTGTCCTTTCAAGGATTAAATAACAGACTATAGAAACATGAAAATTACTGTTGGAAATTAATTCCTGCCATACAGGAAATACCATTTTAACAATTTCCCGCATTGCACAAGTGAGACTCATTAGGTTTAGATTCCTTCCAGAGAATTCTGGAGAGAGCAATTTTGAAGACAGCAGATAATATTATAAAAATTATTAGATCATTTCTCACAAGCCAATTGGTATTTTTGCATAGTTCATCTCCCTCGAAACCACAGAACACAAGGAGTCTTTTCTTTGAGCCCGATTTCTGGCTTGGTAGTACAGGAAGCTTCACATAATTCTCATGAGAAATAACAGTGGTTATGTCCATAAACATAGATTTTTTTTTTTCGTTCATAATTTGTAGGTATCTATTAAGACTGGTCAGTGTTCAGCAATTCAGCTTTATCAAGGGAAGTGGTAATGACATATAATGATATACAAGATGGGTCACCAGCAAAGGAAGAAAATGGCAGGTTTCCAGACCCATAAATTCAATGATTATCTCGGACTGTTCTGGATTTCTACACTGCTTATAAAAAAGAATGATAGGAAATTCTGTATTTCATGAAATAAGCATTTACTTTAAAATACTCGATAACTACAATCCAAGGGCAGATATAAGCTATATATAGTTACTTAAACTTGATCTGGATATCTAGATAAACCATTTAGAGTTTATCTAAAGACAGAGGGGAAGATTCCTGTACACATGAATGCAGGTGTTTGCACCAGGCCAGTTTGGTGCACTGGGCTAGTTGGGTGGCCTAGTCTGATAAGGGCTGTGTTCTGAAACCCTTTTCATTTAAATAGGCTAAGTGCTACAATCCTGCATTACACATTAGCATTTGCTTAGCTTCATTTGGAACATCTGCAATGAAATACCAGCTTTCCTGCCAGTTCAGTAGTTGTGATCCCAGGACAGATGCATTTTGTATATTTTGTATACTATATTGTATATTACTATATACATAATATACTATATTTGTATATTTTGTATACTATATTTTGTAGTACATATCAGTGCCTGCAGTAGTTGTGATCCCAGGACAGATGCAATATATTTTGTAGTACATATCAGTGCCTCTTCAGTTTGCATTTTGTGCTTTTGGAATGGGGAAGAAGTAGCATTATTAAACAAAATAATCCCACTCCCCTCCAAAAAGAAAACAAACAAACAAAAAAAAAACAAAAACAAAACCAACCAACCAAACAAACAAAAAAAACACAGCACAGCCTAAAATGGATCAGATCAAAACATCAAACGTCAGTCTGAATCATTGGTCTAGGTCCCATTTAGTGGATTTCAGGTCCTCCTCTCTGTGTTCATATATTTCCTATGAACTGAATGCAATCTCAATTAGACATGAGTTAATAGCAGCTATTAGTGTTAATCCTATCCATTGCAGAGGCTTCCTATATTTTTCCCCACCTGATCTCCCAGTTTTCTTGAGGACTCCCTTTTTATGGGCTGCCTTCTGCAGAGATGTCAAATGGCTGCCTGGATCTCTCTGTTATTGCTGAGATATTTGTTATACCCTCATGCAACTGAATTTAACAGTATCACGGTGAGAAGGGCTGTGAAAAAAGCACCCACAGCAACAGCTCTGCGGCTTTGCAACTGTTGGGGCAGCAGCAGAGGATGTTGGACTCTGCAGTGGTGGAAACTGGCAACTCCAAGTGCCTTCTTAGAGCAGAACACTTCTCCTTGGGAGCTTCATGCGCCTGAATCGCTCGTGGTTATTACAAGACAAACTGTTAATTCAGCAAGCTTTGAAAAGGAGGGCTGAATAGAGGCAAGTGAATGAGCAATTCTGCTGCAGAGAGAATCCTAGAGCAGCGCCACTGCCGTTTCCAAAACCCACTGTTCAGTGCTGGCAACACACAGAAGGCAAGAAGGGTAAAGGAGGCCAATTCATGTTACATGAGAGCAGCAGCAGCTTAGACATGTGCATCCCGAACGGCACAGGGAGGAATGAGATATGGAACTCCCCCACACTCTTCCCAGTCAGGCCTAGCCACAGAGGAGTCCTAAAACTAGCAATAAATGATTCTTTTGGGGTAAGTCACGAAATTGTAATTCTTATGAGCTCTCCGTCCTCGCGCGGCCACGGGAGCAGCCAGGAGCCCAGGGGGACTCATTCCACACCTACCCGAATGCACACACTGGGGAGAGCTCCTCGCCTTGCAGCTTGGCACCACGCGGGTGCCTGGCCACAGCGAAAGCAAAACAACCACGAAGACCAGCACAAAGGGCACCCACCAAGAACGATTCCACGCCGTTACTCTTGGCCAGGTTCAGTGCAGCTCCTGGGAAGGACTAAGCTTCTTGTCCTCATTCCCTCAACACAAACCATGCGCAGCGCACACACCGCCGTTCGCACTGCTGGCTCATCGATGGAGCACGGGCCAGGCAAACGGTTCCACACCCGTCCTTTCCAAAAAGGCAGGCAGTGCTTCTGATTTTAATGTGAATTTGACAGATCCTGCACTTAGGTTCGCCCTTCCACATGACACCAGAGCTGGTGCTGGGGGTCGCAGGCCAGCATTACTACCTGCATGTTGGAGAAGACTTTGTGGAGGTCCCTG